CTGTATTCGTTGCATCCATAGTAATTTACTATTACTATATTGTTACTGCTACTGTTACAGAGATCTCTATCGGTTCCCATGTTTGAAACCACTACTGTTTACTGATATAATGGCCATCAACTGACTGTTCGGTCTCTTAAGACCTACTATACTTTTTTGCTATGGGATGTACCACATATGACTGCTATGACTGAATGACTAATATACTATTATAACTGACTGTTTTAAATACTGAAAGAACATTCATTCTTAACCTCTTTATGCATATGTTATTCATTGGGCTTTAGCTCACTGTTTATATATATATGTAGGTGTCCAAGCACCGGATTGAAGCTAGGAGCGTTGGGTTTAACTCCCTTTTTGTCAAGCCAACCACTATGCCTCACTGAGAGGTTCTAAGTCCTTCAAGCTAGGGCTTTTTGGGGTGTTTTAGATTCATCCTTTCTGTCTCTGTTTTTGTATAGACTGACTGTACCTGTACTGTACTGTTCTAATAGGGATTAGGTACCTGTCCTGAATGATTGTATGTGTATGTATATACTGTTTTGGTTCTGAATGTGAATATGTATGAAAAGTCTTTTTTTGCATACAGACTGTCACAGCTCATTAGACATCTTTTATTATTGTTTTGGCTTCTGCCAGCCCCTGTACTCTATATTACTGTTATTACTGTTAAGCAGGCCTTCGGTAATCACGGATTACTGGCCGGTTACAGTGCTAAACCCATAGGGGCGGGTTTGGGTCGTGACACAATGTCACTCCTTGCAATTGTTCTAAAAATAACCATGAGGACACAATGCCAAATGTCATAAAAGACATATGTGATGTCCTCCCTAACCCATATGATTTTGGGCAAGATGGTGGAACACAGTCTGACAAGTGTTATCAGGGCAAGCAATAGATTTTGTGTTCAAACCTCACCACCTACACAATAATTATAATACTTGTACGTGTTTGACCCGATTAAAAGAATAGTCTAGTAGTGTGAGTTGGCATGTTGAAGATATAAATAATAAAGTTGGCCCCTATGAAGCACCGATCCATCTTCTAAGGTTACGTATTGAACACTGACATGCATCCAACATGTAATGGACACGTGTCCGATACGCAGTCTAGCGTGTCCTTTTTTTTCATCTCATACACGTCCTGGACACTCATTGACACATTTGAGACACATCAGGAACTGTTCAAAACCCTAGCCAGAGAGAAAGAGAGAGAGGTCCCTATCGAAGCTTAGAAGCCTTTGTTCAAGTAAAATGTTTGAGGCGAAACCATCGGGCACCATTCAAAGCCCCAACTACAACAGATGAGTAAGAGAAAAAAATCAAGCTTCCATCTGCGATGAGATCAGAAGCATCTTGCTGCACACAGAGAAGAGAGAGAGAGAGAGAGAGAGAGAGAGAGAGAGAGAGAAGAAGAAGAAGAAGAAGAAGCTTCCTTTTGCAATAAGAGCAAAAGCCATCTACTATAATACAACCAATATAAGTTTATTTGTTTGGTCTTCCAAGAAAAGAAGTGCAGCTTATGAAAGCTTCCAACTACCAACTAATAAACCTTTCACCTACCAGTCAAAAGATCAAAAAACAATTAGCATCCACCAACTAATTCCAAAATGACGTTCGAAATGATCTTGAGTAGGTCAATTGGAGTAGGTCGAGGATAATAATTCTGAATTGGCGGTTGAGTTAAATCATAAAAGTTTCTTGAACTTGGGTTAGAGTGTTGGACATGAATTGTTCATATAGATTTTGTAACATTGTGTCATCTTAGAGGACATTGATTATTCCACTATGGGCAGTAGTGTCTTTGCCTTCTCGTTTAGGAGTGGGTGGATTAGAGGTATCAACAGTAAGATAATGGATTGGTTCATTGTCATTGAGGACTTTGGTAAGTGTTTCTTTCCATTTAGTAAGTTTTGCTAAGAACTCTTCTGAAGGACTAGTAAAAGAGTAGGCCGGATAAGATAGGTTTTGAATTAAAGGAGGTTGTCGGGCTTGATCTGTTGGAACAGAGAGATAAAGTTTGTCAACTCGTTCTTTAATTCGAGTAGTTTGTTCACCAATCGTTAAGAGATATATATTTGTATAATTTAATTATTCATGTACTTGGCCAATGTCATAACTAGTTGATGGTGTTATTTTAGAAAATTGGGCACCTTCCATGGGAGGTCGGTTATAAGGTTTAGCATAGAAAGAGAAACCAGCACCTTGAATGGTACAAGTTTTCCCAAGAGGATGTACAGATTGAATGGGTTTGCACTAAGGACATGCCAGCTTTTCTAGATGACATTAAAATAAGCTAATATTAATTTTTGGGGTACAACTATTTGGTGATGGGGACAGTACTTATTGAAATACCAATGGAAGAAAGGTACGTGCTGTTGTAACTGTTGTAAGGTGAGAAAATATTCAGATCGAATAATTTGTTGTTGAGCGGTAGTATAGGTTTGCCTAAAATAAATTTTGTTATGAGAATTATATGTAGCATTATATTCTTTTGAGAGTAGGTCATGATTAATTGTGAAATCATTTTGAAATCATTTGAGCGGCTTACAGACTTTTGCGACTTGATTGCCACACAGGTTAAATGGGAAGGACTAAAATCAACTCTAAATTAACTTGGCTCTTACACCAAAAAGAAGCCTAGGTATTATAATCTTAGTGATTTAGATTAGATACAGATTAAAGATTGTAACTATTTTTGAAGTTGTTTTAAGGAAGCTTGTTCATCTTTGATTTTCCTTTTTAATGTGAAAATTCATTAACTATAATTAATAATTTATTGTCCTGATACAAGAGATAATAACAATCTTAGATTAGACAATTCTTCTTGCAAATCAGAAATATATTAACAACTATCATTAATTTCGACACGCAGTTCAGAAATCAAAAGCATAGTAAACAAATATCACACTAATATTAAATTCAGAAATATAAAAGTACAAAGAAAAAAAAAATTACAAAGGATTATAATCTTGGAAACAAATAGGACAGAGCATCTAAGATATTACTCACACACTTACAATCACAATCACAACCACACTCAGACTCACACTCTCACACTAATACTGGGTGGATTTTGAAAGCGTGGCTCTTCTTAGAGAAATGGCTAGCTTTTATAAAGAAGAGGAGTCGGATTTGAAAATGTTTGGAGTCCAAAGAGATAAGGAGGCATCTGTATTTTTTATTTTACTTTTGCTTTGTTGGTGCAGGAAATCCACTTTATGAGTTGGATTATTATTGTTTTGTCACGGGTTTGTTTTGAGTCACATGGGAATCTTCTTTTTGAAAATTATTATGATGCTTTGTCAGTATAGTTGGCAAAGAGGCATGTGATTACAAATTATTGAGGTCTACGCCTTGATAAGTGTGAGAGAAGTCATCATCAAGATTTTGATTGGGAATATGAGTTAGAGAATTGAGTAGAGATGTGTCTACAGAAAATTGTTGTCTAAGGTCGTCGCTAAGTTACAATTGGGAGAAATGATTCCAGTACAATTTTATCATAAGAATTAATAAGGCATTCAGAGTTAGCCATTAAGATCATTTTCATGTTGATAGCCTTTTTGTATTTATATTCAAATTCAGGTTTGGACACTGAGGGATTCTTGTTGTTCAATTTTATCTTGAGTTCGGCTTTGAAAAGATCATTATCAAAAGATTTGGATGATTTTGGACTGGAAGATAACATTGAAGGAGCAGGATTAACAAATGTTTTTTGCTTCCGTTGTTTGTAAAAGGACAACAGGATCAGGATAATGTTCTAAAGGAATATTGTAAGTTTTCCACCATTTGGAAGCAATTTGACGAGGTAAGATATTGGGTATTGAACAAAACTGAAATAGTATATTGTCCAACCATAATCCATGAGAATTTGAAATCAATGACGAAATATAAAAATTCAAGAAAAGGAGGATCAACTTCCTTTTGGTAAATATGATAGGAATCTTAATGGCTGACGCCAAATGCCTTACTAATTCTAATGGTAAAATTGTACTGGAATCAGTTCCCCCAATTGTAACTCAGCGACAATCTCAGACAATAATTTCTCCATACACATCTCAACTCAATTCTCCAACTCATATTTCTACTCAAAATCTTGATAACGACTTCTCTGACACCTATTAAGGCGTCGACCTCAATAATTTGTAATCGCATGCCTCTCTGACAATGCATCACAATAATTTTTAAAAAGAATATTCCCATGTGACTCAAAGCAAACTCGTGACAAAACAATAATGATCCAGCTCATAAAATGGATTCCCTGCACCAACAAAGCAAAAGCAAAATTTAAAAAAATAATAAAAAAAGATTCCTCCTTATCTTTTCGGACTCCAAACATTTTCAAATCCGGCTCCCCTCCTCTATAAAAGCCAGCCATTTCTCCAAAAAAGGCACAAGAGAAGAAGAACAAGCTTCCTTTTGCAATGAGAGCAAGAGCCTCCTACTATAATACAACCAATATTTGTTTATTCGTTCGGTCTTCCAAGAAAAGGAGTGCAGCTTATGAAAGCCTCCACCTACCAGCTAATAAACCTTTTACCTACAAGTCAAAAAGTCAAAAACCAGTTAGCATCCACTAATTAAATGGTCATAATAGCTATCTAAAATGTGAATATTTATATTTTCTTATGTTGTGATTTTGTGCCACATGAGTGAGTCAATCTGTAATGTCTAAATTTTTAATTGGTGTTAAACTATATTTTTTTTTCATAATTTTAAATAAAATATTTATATAAATATACATATATATATATATATATTAACGTGTTCTTAGCATGTTGTGTCCTTCGTTTTTTGAAAATTAACATGTCAACGTGTCTGTATCCATACTACATAGGTTAGCCCTCTCTCTACCTTAAGCTCTTAGATGAATTGGTGGTTAATAGTTCAATAGTTTCACCTTCTCCTCCCATGTCTCAATGGAAACTGAAAATGCCATGAATGAAGAAGTATTTAAGGTCCCAAAGGAGCCAATGTTGCACTTTCCTACAAGCCAACATCTGGTGTCAACCCTATTCGGTGCATATCCATAAAAGTATCAATTGCTGACTTCATTCTGCCCTGTTTGCAGAACCCATTAATGATCATATTGATGGTGAAGATATCAGGGAGAAGACCCCTTTGCTTCATCTCCTTCTCCAACTTCAACGCTTCACTCAATCTTCCACAGTTACAAAACCCACCAATCAATGAATTGTATGCATAATTATTTGGTACAAACCCTCTCTCCAACATTTCCAAAAACACATTGTATGCCTCCTCAACAAGACCTGCTTTAGAAAGTCCATCAATCAAGGCTGAGAAGGCAACGGCATCAGGAGACATCCCTCTACTTTCCATCTCCTCCCATAAACTTTGAGCCGCCTGTACGCCACCTGTTCTGAAATACCCATCTAAAATCACAGTAAAAGCCACTATATTGACAGGATAACCCTTCTCTATCATTACATTCATAAGCTTCCTCGCTTCTTGCAGCTTCCCTTTTTTGGACAAAGCCATAAGGAGAGAACTGCATGTGGAAGATGATGGACTCAGACCAAATTTCAACATAATTTTGTAGACTTCAAAGGCTCTGTCTTCTAGGCCTGCATGGCTATAAGCTGCAATGACAGAGTTAAAAGAAAGGACACTGATAGCTATCCCTTTCTCAAGCATATCCTCCAAAATTTCCATTGCCTCATCCAACCGTCCTGCCCAACACAATCCTGCAACTGATATATCAGACAGTGAACGATCAGGAAGCAATCCTGACATGGTTAAATCCTTCAACAACCTGTCAACATCTTCTTCTCTACCATACTTGTAATGTCCAGCAACCAAAATGTTAAAAGTTACAACATCAGCAGCTACACCCTTGTTCCTCATTTCTTCATAAAGCATGTTAGCCTGATCAATGTCCCTAGCCTTGACATACCCATCAATTAAGGTGTTATACATGATAGTGTTTGGAAAGACACCTATCTCTTGAATACCATCAAAGAGTTTCCTCGCTTCCACGACATTTCCCTCCTTGCACAAGGTATTAATAACTGTACTAAATGTAACAATGCTAGGATTACAACCACTTCCAACCATCAAATGTAACAAAGCCAACGCATCTGACGTTTGACCCCTGATGCAGCATGCATTAATCAAAATGTTATAGGTATAAACATCAGGCTCACATTGAAACTTTCTCATTATATGAAATAAATTCTCTCCTATTTGGAGATATCCTTTTCTAACAAACCCAAGAATTATCACATTGAATGTATAATTCACGGGGCAAGGTCCTTTATGAACCATATCCCTAAACAACTTCCACACACTACCATAATCACCAATCCCCAGCAACAATTTGAAAAGAATGGTAACAGCTGACAAGCTCGGCGTTGCTCCAACCTCCCTCATCCTATCCACCATTTCCAGTGCTCTAGAAATCATTTCTGCATTCAAGAAAGCCCGCATAAGCGAATCAAGAACCGAGAAATCAGACTCGTACTTGTGGTGCTCTCCCCACATAAACCCCACCACCTCCCAACTCCTACAAAACCCAATTCTTGCAATGACCCACGAGAGCAAATCTTGTGCGAAAAAACGCAGCCCACCAGCTGCCAAAAGATGGGCAGCAAGGCAACATGACCGCAATGTCTCCTTCGAATCATCCCCAAATGAAAATTTGAAAAATGCAAATGCAATTTGCCGGTGTTCAAACAATTTCATGATCTGTACAAGAAAATATGGGCAAAAATTACGAGAAAAACCCTTCAAAAGATAACCTTGCTGTTGTTTGATCATCGTAGCTAACCCAACAACGATTCTTCTCCTTTCATTCGAATTGATTACAGTGATTGAAGAATTTGATGAATTGCGAAGTGGAAAAGGTGAAAACTGTTGGAGAAAATCGAAGTTTCGATCGACAGAAGAAGAAGATGAAGTAGAACAACATTGTGAGAGTTGAGAATTTAGGGTTTTGGGGGGGAGAGTGAGTGTGAGAGTAGAAGAGATTAGGGTTTGTGAAGAGTGTGAGTTTGAGGGAGAGGGCACGAATGGCGAAGAGGAGCACACCTTGAGAGTGTTACGCACACGGCGCACCGTAGCAGACATCCAGCGATTCGGAGGCGGAATGCTCGCCGGCGAACTGGGCGGTGGTCGGAGTCGGAGTTCGGAGTCGGAGGTAGCAGAGTTTGGACGAAATAAATTGGAAAGCGAAATATGAATTCTCACTTTGGGCTTTGAGGGGTGGACATGGCAGGGTTTGGGCCGGGCCATACTAGTTCGTCATAAAATAAAATTAAAAATCCCAAATTCATAATTTCTATTGGTTGATGTAATGGTAGGGATCCAACTCTTTAACTTCGATAAGGTCAGATATTTTATGGGGGTTTATCACAATTCAATTAGATGTAGAATATTTGACGAGATATACTCTTTGGACAAATAAAATCCAACAAAGGAACGACTCCTAAGGAGCGGCAAGTAAAGGTAGTAAATGACCTAAATGAGTTAAACAGTTACTTATTTGAGTTTGGCTTGGTAATTTTATCGAGTTTCAAATTTTATTTAAGTTTAGTTCATTAAACTTCCACATCGATCTTAAACGAGTTTTTATCGAATCGAATTCAAATAGTTTATTATTTTATATAATTTTAGACTAATGAAGTATGAGTATTTCGACAAACATATCGTACCCATATCGGATACTTATTGAATACTAGTACTTCGGATTGTATTTCTACATATGTACCAGGTACACGAAATACATACTTAAATTTTTTCTTCTTAATTTTTGACATACCCAGACGTACTTGGTATATACTTAGGCCAAGTTTGGCTATCCTAAATAAGTACACATTTTTTATCTTTTTATCTTTTTTCCATCACATCATCTCTCTACTTTTCTGTACATCTTTTCGTAAAAAGACAAAAAATACACTTATTTAGGTCATCCCAAATAACCCCTTAAATTGTACCGTACCTCATTGAAAATAGTATTTTCTTGTAAGTACAAAGGTAAAATCAATTTCATTGAATTTATTTTTTATTTTATTTTTATACTTAGTGTAGGTATTGATTTCCGACCTCACAACCAAATAGAGAACTTAGCTAGAGAGCACGTGGCAGAATAAATTAAACTAAACACCTGCCAACAAGAAAAAAAGAATATAACGATGGCTCGTCCATCCGGAGGCACTCTGACGATCAAGTCAGTCAATCTTATCTCTAAAAGATATCAAACAAGTACTCAATGCACAAGTAAAAACATATCTTAGACCCACGAGAGTGCCTTACTTTTATAGCAAACAGTACCTTTATCCCCTAGAAGTCTTACTTCATAGGATTCTATAATTACAATGGTATCAATTAACCAAGACTCCTCCTATTTGGATTAAGATCAACCCTCTCAAGAGTCCAACCTTATCCAAATAGAGAGTCTATCATCATTTAGGACTCTAGTAGCCCAGTTTGGTAGAGCGGTGGAAAAGTGATTATAGATTATAGCTTACAACTATGAACATAAGCTGGTAACTTATTTGGTGTAACTGTGGGATTATAGATTTAAGCAGCAAAGTAGTATTTGGTAAATAAGTTATAAAAATAGTTTTTTGCTGTATAATTATCATTTTTGCCCTTACGAACATAAAAATTGTAATTTTTTCATTTTATTCACATTAAATTTTGAAAAAGTTATTTCATTAATAGAAATTAATATAATTAGCACCTATATTGGTACATTTTTACATTACCTCAATTTTTTATTTTTCATTTTAATAATGACTTTACAAGGGAACAAAAAAATGTCATTGCAATAAAAATACAATAAATTACTATTAAGGCAATAAAAATAAAACTTCATACATATTAGATAACTCCTAATTTCATCTGCAAATTAACATACAAATGTTATGTCTCCTTACTTCCATCGCTTTGTCATTACCTTCAACATAATTGCCATGGCATACTTGTTGAGACCTTGATCCTTCCTCTTCATTAGGCACATAATCCGTGAATTTATCATAAGTGTCAAATGCAATATCACGAGACTGACTTCGTCGGATGTAATTATGAATTGCCATTGTTGCACAAACAAGTTTGACTTGGGTCGGCCACTTGTAGTTTGGTAGGATATCCTTTATCATTGGTCATCTTGCTTTCCAAACCTTAAACGTTCTTTCTATTACACTTCTAAGTAATGAATGTGCTTGGTTGAATTTTTCTTGTGCATTTTGGGGGGCTTGACCATGTTCAAATTCAGCTAGATGTTATCTCTCTCCTTTGTAAGATGCAATCCTTTCATGTTTTGATACCTAGCAGCCACCAAGTAAAACTCATCTATTTTAAAATTTCAAATAGTAATAAAATAAAGTAAGCAATTACAAATGTAAAAATAAATATGAAGATGTGAGTGTGGTGCATCTACTGTAGCAATCAAATATAAAATAGTTACCTCATTGTGGTTTTGGAAAATTATAACTAGGATTCCTAATTATATCTAAGAAGATCCGAGTATCATGTGCATTTCATTCCCATCTTGGTAAGCAAAATGTGAAACACATATCAAAGTCACATGTAGCCATTATGTTTTGAGTCACATACCTCTTTCTACATATTAAACGAGATTGCTTATCTGGAGATATGTATGCTTTGATGTGTGCTCCGTCAATTGCTCCAATACAATCCTATTACAAAATAGTGAATAAAAATATTTTTACTCACAGATTATTAGAAATATCCTACCAACATTAATTATATGTAACACCCAAGTTCTACTTGTAGTTAATTATTTACCTTAAAATGAGGATAGTATCTGCGGTTGCTTCTAATATATGGATGCACACCATTTCTCGGTTGAGCCGGATTTGGACTCTTTGGTTCAGATTAGGAACCGTGACAAGAAAATCGAGTCCGAGCTGTAGCGAGGTCCCCCGCGGGCTTGTTACACCTGCTCCTGATTCAAGACTTGTCGTCCAGTTTCAAGGCCATAGTTTTTCTGTAACAAATCACACAATTCATAAAATATCTCTCTTTCCATTAAAAAATTTTCAAATATTCTTGTTTGATTCCCTTCTTGTAATTCTACCATCCACTTCCACACTGTTAGAGAAGATGTCCTACATGGTTCTTTTATCAATTAATTTGTTGTATATGTCACTGCAACTGTTGCCGCCGTAGCTAAGAGCATATTATTATTTTCTTGAGTTTGCGATGTGCTGCTTTCATCTTCAGCATCTTCATCGTCATGATCATCATTCCATTCATCATCATCACTACTCATCTCCAAAATACCTACTCCTTGTTACTAAAACACAACTAATTATTGAAAACACAATAAGATTTGTTTACCAAAATACCTGGGGGCCAAAATTATGGAACATACAACTGTTGTCGTAGCAAAAAACTTGCTTCAAGAGAGCTGAAACACCTAAATTGATGGATACCTAGGCCAACACATCTACATATATATATATATATATATACACTTAACCATTCACCTACTATTCATCTTCAAGATTCAAATAAATGCCACCTACCATTCAAATGACATCCACCTAATAAAAATTGCATCTGAGGATAGAGCTAAATGACATCCACCTAACGTTCAAAAATTGCATCTGAGAATAGAGCTGAATGACAGCCGCCTAATAAAAACGAATGCCACTTACTACTCAACCATTCACCTACCATTCAACTAACAATGACAGCCACCTAATAAAAATTGCAATATCCAGCACAACCATTCAACCATTCAACTAACAAAGTCCAACATAATAAAAGTCTAACGGAATATTAATAAAAGTCCAAATAATGAGTCCAACATAAAAGTCCAACATACTCATACATAATATTAATAAAAGAAAAAAATAATGAGTCCAACATAACAGTCCACCATTAATAATAAAAGTCTTAATAAAGGTCTTAAACATGAAATAATAATAAAATTCAAAAACATCCAATTTCAGAAACAATTAGCTGTGATAACCTGTGCTAGTCTTCTCCATCTCAATCTCCAACTTCAGAAACCTCAGCCGAACTTCATCCGTAGGAAGTGTCATGAAGCACTCACGATGCTTGTCTTTTAAGAACAATCTGGCAGCCCATACATACAGCTCATCATCCAGGAATGCTTTCCAACTTCGCCAAACATGCTGCAATTGAAAGATATCTTAATGAGGTTTGTGTTGAAGTTGTTGAAGATGACTCAACCACATTGACTATACAATCAAGTGTCTTGTTAAGTAGAGATGCACCAAAAACTTTCTTCTTTGTCTTGCTCTTGTTTAATGAACCATCAGTGTTTGATGGACGTTTTTTGTTTAAATTAGAAGGATGAACCACCTCCAAATTAGCATCATCATGAAATTCAGCATCATGTAAGGTATGAAATTCCTCCAGAGTCTCATCAGTGTGAGGCATAACCCCTAAGCTAGGGGTGTATGACCATTCTCCTATAGCAGCTGCATCTAAGAATAATATGTCTAAGCCTTTAGTGAATTGCTACGGCATACGCTGAAATTTAGCAGCATCATGATACCTTTGTATCAATTACAAAGGAAAATTTAACAATTTCAACTTACAAAATTTGGTCTGTTTAAACAAAAAACAAACAGAATATGTACATTAAGCAATTCACTTACCTCTAATTTCTTGGTCCACCACTCATTAGATACAGATATAGCTCCAGTCAATGAATCACGGCCTAAGCCTGTCTCACCTCTTAAAAGATTATTCTATAAAAGGAAATCTTTTTTCAACACATCCCAATGATTTTTCATTTGTATTCGTTGGTATGCTTTTCCAGTCATAGTTTTAAACTTACTTATCATATTTTCTCACCCGACCCTATCTAAGTGTGTACCAGGTCTGTGTCCAGCCTTCACTTGCTCAATACAAAAGCTTAATAAAAATTTCATTTGATTTTGCATCCAAGTGAGCTTTAACGGATGGTACTTGACTTGATTTTCTCTTGTTCTTCCTATTTTCAAATTGTGTTTCCTCATGGGTACTCATTTTATGAAAGAAAAAAATTCTTTAAAATAAACTCATTCATCATTGCTTGCATTACAACAACTAGATTAGTACCAAATAACCATACATGGCAATTAGGATAGACATATCAACATTCATTGGGTACAAAGCTTAGTATAATGGTTCATGGTAAACTACATAGCACAAAAACACCAGGTATCTCTAAAAGCCACCTATCATCATTTGAAGAGTAATGCAACTGACATAACAATACAAATTATGAGCAGACCCACAACAAGCTGCTTCATGAATGTTAAGGGTTGCTCAAGCATTTGGTTCTTGACTTTGAGTCCTACA